AATTCGGAGTCAATTTCATGTATGAAGTCTTCTGATCCATGTTTGTACGTTTTCGTGATGTTGTCATGTAAGAGTTCGTTGTATGTGTTCAGTGACGTTTCGTAAATGTTTCTAGTTTTGTCCGCGAAAATGAAAATGTTGGGGGATGAATTAATTTTCTTCAAATCGTTAGCCAAAGATGTCTGAAATTGGTCTTTAGGACGCCGGAATTTTACGTTTTCAATTAGTTTTATCAAGTCGTCTTCGAAAAGTTTCAAAAGTGGAATTGAGGGAGGCGATATATATATATATATATATATATATATATATATATATATATATATATATATATATATATATATATATATATATATATATATATATATATAATAATAATAATACTAACATTTATATAACGCCTATACCAGAATGTTCTAAGCGCTTTACAAAATTAAATCTAAGTTATAGTTTTATGAAATTATTAAGTTATTTACAAGTTGATGAAAATATGTATATATGAAATATATATATAAAATGTTACTATGTAATAAAATAGTTGTTTAATCAAGTTTAAACGCTAATTTAAAAAGATAGGTTTTTAATTTAGATTTAAAAATATCAAGGTTAGAGCAAGACCTAAGGTCTAATGGTAAATTGTTCTATAACATTGGTGCTGAGATTGTAAACGATTTTGCCCCATAAGATTGAAGATTAAATCTTACTTGTTTTAATAAAAAAGCAGACGAAGAACGAAGAGTTCTTGAGGGAGTATAATACTATTAGTATTCAATCATCTCTGTTAAGTACTTTGGTCAGCAGGAGTAATTTAAATTTAACTCGATATTCAACTGGTAACCAATGCAAGTTAATTAACACCGGCGTGATATGGTCGTATTTGCAGGACTGGGTTATAAGTCGCGCGGCAGCATTCTGCACATGTTGTAGCTTTTTTAGTTGGAACTTGGGAACCCCATAGAGTAAGGAGTTACAATAGTCCAATTTGGAACTGATAAAAGCATGAACAAGGATTTCGGTAGATTTTGGAGTTAGAAGTTTCCTTATTCTTGCAATATTCCGCAAGTGATAGAAGGCTCCTTTGCAAACAGAGTTAATTTGTGATATCATAGTCACGTTTCTATCAAAGATCACGCCAATATTCCTTGCCATATCTGAAGGAGTAATAATATCATATCCACAGTTTAGAGAAAACACTGGTGATGGGCGATAGCGAGAATGGATAACCAGGAGTTCAGTCTTATCTCCATTGAGTTTGAGTTTGTTTAGCAGCATCCATGTCTTTATATCAGCAAGGCAGTCTTCAATACGTTGGGCCGTAGAACTTAAATCATGTTCATCATTGCATGCAAATGAAGTATATAACTAGTGGGTGTCATCTGCATAGAAATGAAATAGCATGTTATGACGCCGTAGAATATCAGCCAAGGGTGATGTATAGAGTAAATACAAAATTGGGCCAAGCACAGAACCCTGAGGAACACCACAGGTCATGTTGTGAGTTTCAGACTTAGAACCATCAATATTCACGAACTGAGAGCGATTAGTCAAGTAAGATCGAAGCCAATCCAAGGCTTTTCTTTTTATGCCAAATCTAGTTCTTAAACGGTGAATCAAAAATTCATGGTCTACTGTGTCAGATGAAGAAGAGAGATCGAGGAGTAGAAGTACAACACAGTTGTGACTATCCAAAGCACGTAGGATATCGTTCTGTACTCTAATCAGAGCAGTTTCACAACCATGGTATCGTTTATATGCAGATTGGAATGGTTCATGTAGGTTGTTTCCGTCAAGGTAACTGATTAAACGAGAGGCTCCGGTTTTTTCAATCACCTTAGAAACCATCTTAAGATTCGATATTGGTCTGAAATTAACAAATTCCTGATAATCCAATGAAGGTTTCTTTAAGGTCGGCGTTAACACTGCCTTTTTCGAAGTAGATGGCATATGACCTGATTCCAATGATAAATTGACAATTTTACGAATAACTGGTAGAAGATCATTTATTTGAGGAATAAGTAATTTAGCTGGTAATGGGTCAAGGACACATGATTTGGACGCGATGGGATATATTAAATTTGATAATTCATCCACAGTGGTTGGTGGGAAGGTAAACAGCTCCGACTCGGGGGGGAGTGAAGTATCAAATTCTGGTAGATGAGTCAGAGCAAATTCATCATTGGCTAATTCTTCCCTAATTTTGACAATTTTGTTGGTGAAAAAGTTGTTAAATTGGGTTGACAGTTCATTGAGCGACTCACATGACGGATAGAATTTCTCAGGACGCCTATGGAGGAGACCATCAATAGTGTGAAACAGTTTCTTATTGTCTGATCCCGCTTCCTCAATCAAGGAAGAATAATAATTCGCTTTTGCAGTATTAACTAATTCTTTGACCAATAGACACTGATTAATGTAAACCTGTAGATCAACTTGGAGACCAGAACGACGCCAGCATCGTTCGAACTTGCGCCTCTTGGATTTTTGATGTATATATATATATATA